CAATCCGGTGGAAAGCTCTCTCGACACTGGCTGACTCGGCAGAGGAATCTGTGCTTGGTTTGGGTGGCTGGTTGTTGGATTTCTCCCAGACTACTCTCCTTTCCTCCTGGTCTGAGTTGGATTGCAATGGATTGACTTAATTGTCTCTAATGACTAAATTGTCCCAACTATTCGCTTCATTAACTCTGTGTTAGCTCTATTAGGAGGGAGCGGAGCCGGAGAGGAGACGGTAATTGAGAGTGTTAATGAAGGAAACATGATGAGTGCCGCATGCTGAAAGTAAAAGAAGTGTGATGCTTTTGAAGTTTTTACAGATTGGTGCGCATTTTATTCTGAAAGGAGCCAATAAACCACAGTTCAAAAGGGTATTTAAGAAGGAAAATCATCACCAAAATCAAACTCAAGATATTCGACTCACTCATCACATTCAGCTAAGTTTTAGTGTGAGTATTTACCCCTAATGCAGCAGGTATCAGCCGGTATCTCCACCTATCCCTCTGAGCTCCGACTTAAACCATCAGACTTGAGCTCTCAGTCTGCTAAACCCCACTCCAGATTAGGCTCCGATAGTCTGTATGCTGGAGCAGATACTGTGGGATTTTCTGTGGTAAAGACAGATGTTTTAGAGGAAGAGAAGGGATTCTGGCTCCACAGAGGAGCTTTAGCTTTGTCATCGCTGTTAAGATTTGGCCTCGTGAACCCATTTCTTTAATTGGAATCGGGGCAAAGGAGGCCACACCTTGTGTCAATATTACCAGAGGGTGAAAGAGGCCACACCCGAGTTAAACTGTATCTGGAATATTCAGTTGGACAATCCTTTGACTGCGACACACAAATCAAACTTTCTTTGGTACTGGACTTCCTCTACTGTTAAAAAACATGTATACAATATTTTACTGGTAAGTAAGATTTTAACACATTGTTTTTTGTGTTAAAAAAGATCATATCCCATCAGTCCCAGGAGACACAGTAAAAGCCTCACGAGCTGAAATGCCAAGAAAAAAAAATGTCTTGACTCTTTGTCTTACCGACATTGTTTGGACCTTATTCAAATGATATTAGTAGCTGATAACTTAGTGTGGAATATAGACAAAAACTCATATTTAAGAACAATCAATGGTGAATGGACATGTACTCATGAGACAAAAAAAGTCAGAACCTAAATGAACATCTGTGAGCTCAGTTTCATAGATATGCAGTTTTCAGCTTGATATCCATAATGAAGAAAACTAATCACAAAAATAAGTTATCAATATCAACAACAGGCTGTCTCACTACTAAAAATCCAACCACACATTTGAAAAAACTGCAAATATTCCCAAATTGTTTAAAAGGGTTTCACAAAAAAAAAGACTTGTCAACAATTATTTAAGATTTCTAATGCTCATAGAAATACAAACCTATCTTTTCAATTGCAATCAAGTTGGAAACATGCTATGTTTGCCCGATTTGAATCTATATGTCTGTTAAATTATATATGTATAATCATGTCAAGTTTAATTTCTTGCATAGCTGTACTCTATCCTTCTGTGACCTTGCTGTCACCTTCACCCAACAACTTCCTGCTGAACGGGTAAAGCTCTTTTGAGAATAAACCTCATACTCTAAATTAATTTTGAACACCAGTCCTATTGGTCAACTTAAATACCACGCTTTTCATAATTCCCTCAACGGTGTCCATGCTTTTGTGATGTGTTTGTGGGTTTATGTGGTCAAAATATGAATTGCGTCCTTCAGGGGATCACGATTCACTCCAGTCGTGCAGCAGCAGTTGTAGTTAACACATGTGAGAGTTCCTCCATGCAGGTGAAAGCTTGTCACTATTACTTAGGTCTTCCAGGAAACTTTAGACCCTCCCTCGATGATCTCTCCTCGTTCAATCCTACAGTGTGTGAGATTTCTTTCTCCCTCTTGTTCTCTCCTCTCCTTTTCTCCCTCATTCTCTGACACTCTCTCCAGTTTTTTCCTCTCTTCTTTTTCAACACATAGGTGGATTAAGGCAGAGGGGCTTTTGTTTAGATAAAGCGAAGGATTAGGGAGAGATTTGCCCCCATAAAGTTGTGGGCTTAATGGGCCTTTTATCCCTGCATGTCCCTAAAGCTGTGTTGCCTCTGGATTAGGACTACACAATGGGGCCCCTTGTGCAGAGGGATCCGGGCCAGAGAGCGACAGAGAGAGAGGAGAGAAGGCAAGGAAAAGAAATGAGACAGAAGAGCTGAGACAAGGGAGAAAAGAGGGCAAGAAGAAAGAGAGAAGGGGATGGATGGAGGGAGAGAAAAAAAAGGGGAATTATTCAGCTTTTAGAGGAAACTGACAGGTTGAAACTTTTAGAGGAGGGATTTGCAGAGCAGATCCTGAGATCTTGTCATCAATAAAAGGGATTTCAGGAGGATTCAGAGGCGTGGTGCTGAAAATAAACCGCAAAAACTGTCGCTGTCTTTTCAAATGCATTTATCTAACACATTTTTTCAAATAAATAGAAAGGCAGGTCCTGCTATGGAAGTGCTGCTAATAACTGTCTAAGAGGTGGCTCCTGGCCAATTGCTTTGTTATTCTTGTCAAAAAAAAAAGGTCTCCTGCAAGAAGTCGATTTTAAACTACACATCAAAATGATTAATTGCCCTGGGATGAACAGATGCTGAAATACCCTTGAATGGTGCCGGGGAGGCTGAGGCTTGCTGGATTGCAGCCCTAATGTATTCATGAAGTTGCAGAAACATCATTAAGAGTATTAATTAGCTATTAGAGAGCAGAATTCACCGGCATTAGAGATGGTTTTGGTCAAATACCTCTATCAAATACAGGCTGAGACAAGAGGAGAAAGTAGACTCTAGATATGCGTTTGATAAAAGGAATAAAACTGCTTTCAAAAAGGGTTAAACCTGGCCGGAAATCAATGAGGAAACAACAGAAATCTATATTAGACCAGATGTGTTATCTACAAGAGGTTATGGGAACATTCCAAATAAACAAATATTCCTTTGCCATATTAACATTTTTTTATTTTTGGTTATTCGTTAACTAGAGGTCATTGTTTACCCACCTTGTATTCAGCAGTGCATGGGTACAGGGGTAAGGGGAGCTGTTTTTTGGCGTTTAAGCCCTTCAGATGCGCTGGACAGCTCTAGTCTCTCTAAGGAGCTTTAGGTGGAGAGGCGCTGAGAAGAAACTCTTTCTCGCTTTAATTGCTTTAGAGACGGTCCTCACAAAGAGACAGTGGCCAGATTTACCTCCCGTTTAAGTTCTTATTTCCATTGGTTCACAAGTTAATCCTCTTTCTTTCTCAGACCTCGGAGAGAAACCGAGTGATAGGAGCCTACCAAGGCGACAGAAACCACAGAGGCACACGAGTTTTTCCAGGCAAAAGGGGAGAGACTTTGAAGCACAAAAAGTTTTGGGTGGTTTAAAAAAACAAAACAGATTTAGAAGCAAAGACGCACCACGGCAATGACACTTCGAAGACATTACAGGTTAATAATAATAACAATAATAATAATACTAATAAATGTAATAATAATAATAACAATCAAATTATATTTGACTCAAATAGCCTGAATCAATGTTTAAGCAAATAAACGGATTGAATATATATTGTTCTCACGTTAAAAAAGGCTATTATAATAATCGTTATTAGTAACAATTTAGTGTACCGCAAAAGTTAAAAATGTGTGTATATTCATTTAATTCTGTCGTTTTTTATTTCAACATTCAAATCAATTATGTAATTTTAAGCTAATATATATGACCGTTTTTAGCTATACTTCAAAATAGTCCAACGATACTTTTTAGATGTAAAAAAAAAACATACTTCTTTTAAGAAAAAATATCCACTTCACCTCGAGTGCCTCAACTCTTTCTCTCATAACTTTAAACGTTATGATAAATGTCCAAGCTGAATTGTGTTTTAATGTGCCTCAAAACGCATTGAAATAAATATTCTCTGTTCGATTAAATCTTTTGTCGACTGTTCAAACGTGTTCAGAGTGAGAAACATGGTCAGAGATAAAACTGCGTTATAGGCCAAGCACTTTCCCAAAGAATCTCCCAACAAAATATGCAAGCTTTACATTAAAAGGCTACTTTGCGCTGCCCTTAATTCCCTACCTAAACGGTTTTGCTCTGGGAGAAGAAATCTTCTCTAAAAACCCTTCAAAAAGAGAAGGGCATTATTGCCCTAATCCTCTTACCCGCAGTCATTTTAAGACAGGGGTTTTTGGAGGCTGAGATGGCGTCTTGTCTTCCCTATCCCATCCCAAATCCTTCCAGGCCGGGAGAGAGTCTAAAGGCAGCACCCTGGCATCTATTAGCCATCTCTCAAAGTCTCTCTCCTCCAGTGGCATGCAGGAAAAAGCCGAAAAGCAAACAAAATAAAGGCTGGTTTCTTTTCCTCACAAAAACCAAGGAGAAGCAATTGGATTCATGATCCTAGTGTCAGTTTGAGGATAGGAGATTTGAAAAAATAAAATAAAATCATTGAAACTCATGAAATTAGATTAAAGTGTTTTTTATTAAAACAAATATCTTAATGTTTAATTTATATTTCAGATAAACTGCTAAACAGGAACGTTTTCTTTATTCTCGTTTAAATGCATACGACTATTACAACAAATATTTAATAGATAAATACAGATTTTGAAATATATCAAGTTCATCCTATTTATGTCGATTACAAATCAATATCTAAACATGTTTTGCCAAATGAGATATTAAAAATAGCTTCAAATGTTATCAATTAAAAAAAAAAAAATAGGTGTAGACAGACACGGTGGGATTTAGCGGACATAATGTCCTTAAATTGATCATATTTGAAAAATAACTCCAGAAGTCAGTGCGACAGTCTGCCGCTGGACGATCAGCTGCCTTAATGACTTGACTGACAGTCCTGAGAGCCAATAGAAAGCGAGCATGACCCCCGCGAGGCTCTCCTTAAAGTCCCTCCACCCGGCTCTCGCGCACCAGCAGATGGCAGCTTCTCACATGAGCAGGTGGAGCACCAGCGGACGGACTTGAAGTGAAGAAACAGACTCTGGATGACTTTTACTTTGTCCACACTCCTTCTCTTACTGTCGGACAAAAGGACAGACAGCAGTGGGCATTAAAAACAAACCGCAGCGGAAGAGAAACCTGACAGCGCCGCTCGGACTCTACTGAGGGAACTGACGGAGAATACAACGGTCTCCACAAGAGGTAAACACTTTCTTCATCTCTTTATTTAGTCACGCATTTTTCTCATGTTGCATTTTGAAAAAAACGTTATTCATTAATGCTTTAATGTTCATGTTAAACTGGTTTGCATTTTTATTAGACTTTAAATTGTCAGTCCCTCTGGATCAAAATATTGTGTTTGTAAAGTGAAAGGAAAGACACACGTGTTGTGATATTGCCTGTATCAAAATAAGATAATGTTTTAAGTGTTTGGAAAGAAGAGCAATATAAATAGACCTATTGTATTTGAATAAATCTGGTATAGGGCTACGTTTCAGTGTGTAACCCACAATGCAACCTGGCCTGAGAATAACAATTCAAAACGGCCTCATTACAAATAATAAAAAAACTAAATAAAAGTCTAACACTTAACAAGTGTATGTTTTTTTCCAGACAGCTAAATCAGCTGTCCAAAATAAGAGGTAGCCTACTCCTGTTTCTCTAATTACATTATACAAATGTAAAGGTTATTTCTATATTGTTTTCTTAAGCTTTTACGGTTATGTCTTTTATGCATTCTCACAAAATAACCATAATGTGACATTAGGGTCTTACAATTATTTACCATAAAATAAAAAATCGGACATTGAATTACCTTTAAATATCACTCTGGCTCATGGACAACGAATATCCTTCATAATAACAGCTCAGTACAAATTAAACACGTCCCTCGCCCTCTGACAGTTTACACTGTGACACAGCAAGAGCAGACTGTCTGGTCGACCCCTGCCCCTCAGGGCTGTTAGCAAATAACATTTTTCCTAATTTAGTCGGATCAAAGAGTTGCACTGTACATTCCAATTTACATAATGACGGTCTGATAATCGAAGCATTGAGCAGGGCTGCCAGGAGGGCCCAGTGCCTGGAGCAGAGAGAGGCTTATGAATGACAATAACAGCACTGACAGGCTCCCAGTGATGAGCTGCTATTGTGCTGAATTTGATATGGGGAGAGGATACAGACTATAACCAGACAGGGGTACATATAAAAGGTGGGTATAGCTGGCAGGCTTAAAGCGAACAAAGTTTACTTACACTACAAAATAAGGGGGGAAAGAGTCTGAAAACATGCATTTGAGAAGCAGTTATTTTGATTTGCAGATAACTGAATTTTGCTAAAAAAAAGTAAAATCAATAGCTGATGTGTATTCCCTTAAACTTGTATGATTGGTTGCAGGTGTAAACAAATGAACATATTGATACATGTTAAATAGATTTATGGTGCATTTATGTTAATTGAACTGTTTTTTTTTATGCGTAATCGTTTAAAAACACATTTGTTTTCAGAGAAAACAGAAAAGGAAAAAAGTAGAATTGAGCAAAAATCGTTGGCCTATTATACTAGAACACACACACTTGCCCACGCGTGAACGCGCATTCATTCTCGGGAGCTCCCACCCTGCGCTACCCACCTCAGTCCCACTGTACGTCCGTCCGTGTCAGCGTTGATGATAAATGGAGGGCCTCGCAGTCGAAACCTATTTGCACTTCCATTAGACGGGGAGCCAAATGGGGATCAACATGCATATTTTTACCCGCGGAGAGGCCATACATCTCAGCCAAAACGTTGCCCCGGAGCGACGGGATAAGAGGCCGCCAGAGAGGGGAAGGGGAGGGGGAGAGACGGGAAGGGGGGGCCCATTCAACTCAAATACTTGGGGGAGTAAAGTAAATGTTTAGCGAAGCACCTTCTGTCCCGGCGAATTAAACTATTCCCCACCGCCCTCTGATCACATTCATCAGCCGCCGCAGCCACTTAATAGGCTGGGAATGGGCACTGCGGGCATCACACACACACACACGCACGCACACAGACACGCACACGCACAGACACACGCAAACACACTCAAAAGCTGCGAAGTGGATAGGAAAAAGTGCCTGTTATAAAAACGACCACCCAGTCTTTTCTGACTTACAACACATTTTTATAATAGCTTATTTGGCCATATAAAATCAATAATAATAATAATAATAGTAATAATACAATTAATACTGAAATCAAATCCTTAAAACTGACATTTGATTGTTACAAAAACTATAGATATTCAAAAGACGTCAACCAGAAATAAGGTCACTTAAAATTAACAACAATTTAGTTTTAAATTAAAACTAATATCCGGAAGAAAATGTGTTCAGAGCATTGGTCAATTTAAAAGGTTCTGCAATATCAAATATTACTCTGTATAATTTTAACAACACTTTCTGATTTTTCTTTACTTTGTTGAAATTTACATCACAATTTTTAAAAAACGTTGTGAATTAGAGAGATTAAATAAAAACGAAATTAGAAAAATGATAACCTGAAAAGTAGGCCTATCTGTCCAGACCTTTAAGAGCATTTTTTTCTGGATAGTGTACCTGTCATATGGAGAAAGATTGATATATTTTCCCTGCGGACTGTAACAGTTATAATAACTATTTGGGCCTCTCAAGTATTCCCTCCTGTCAGCCTCCTCCGTATACTAATACATAATCTAATCGTGTCCTGAAGGCTACATCTGAAAATCTCAGTCGTGGAGGACAGCTACAAATAGAGTTTTGGAAATTGCTTCAATGCAACTTTAAAGAAATGTTACATTTTTATTTTTAAAATAACACAACCTAAACTTAAATAAATGTAAACGTTTCTGGAAATTAATTTTGAAAAGAGAACAAGTAATACACTCATTTAAACAACACTTATTGAGAATGACATTTCTGTAATCATCTATTAAAAAATAATCCTTCTGTCTGGTCGCAGGTTTTGGACACCGACACCCGGAACAAATCTTATTTCCTTTTCCTATACATTTCATCAACGCCTTGATCTGTCAAGCAACGTTTTTTCACTGGGGATTTGGTTGCTCCGGGATCATAACGACGTGAATAAAATCATGAATAAGGCATTCGTCACGGTTCATTATGGGAATGAGTGATAATTACCCCAATTAAAAGTCTTTTGTATAATTAATGGATTGAACACAGCGATAATTGGATGTTAATGGATAACACTTTAGTCTGACTGCGCACATCAAAATATATAGGCCTTTAAGCGCGAGGACCTCATGTAAAGGATACTAATAAAAAGCTCGTGTCGTGTCAAGCCTCTTAATATATTTAGGCTGACATACATTTGATTTATTTTCTGTCATTACCAGGTCGAATAAGTAGGCCTACTCAGATATTGAAGTAAAAGACCGTAGGAATACTCTGAAAGTCCTGCATTCAAAATGCAAAATGTTATTTAAGTAAAAGTGCAAAAGTATTCAGAAGTAGGCTACCAAAAGTAAAAGTATTATGCAGATTGGCCCATTTCAAAATAATATATCATATATTTTGATTCTAAATATTGTTGCATCAACGTGTTATCAAAGCTGGTAAAGGTGCAGCTAATTTAAATTACTTTGTATACTGCAGGGTAGCTTTTGAATTTACTCCAGGTGTAACTACAGTCTTATTTAGGTGTTGTTTATATTTCACATCATTACAAACAATTGCAAAGTAACTAAAGATATTAAATAAATGTAGTGAAGTAAAAGTAAACGATTAACCTCTAAATTGTTGTGAAGCAGAAGTATAGCCTACAAAGCAGCCCAAAATTGTACTTAAGTAAAGTACTTAAGTAAATCTAGATAGGCCTACCTTACAACACATGGTCATAACGGTGAGTTTTAGCTCAGTGCACTCATCAGCATCCACGCGCCTTTACTTTATGTCCTTAAATGAACTCCATTCCTTCCTCTTTAATTCACAGCACTCTCTTCCGGTCCGCAGGTATAGCGACCTCCCAGCATGCAGCACTACGGGGTGAACGGCTACTCTCTGCACGCCATGAACTCGCTGAGCGCCATGTACAACCTGCACCAGCAGGCCGCGCAGCAGGCGCAGCACGCGCCCGACTACCGGCCATCCGTGCACGCGCTCACACTGGCAGAGAGACTAGCTGGTAATTGAGTGCACGCTCACACACAAACTCATATTTTGGATGCATATTGTTGCCCTTTCTGCAAACAAATTATTCAAGCTAGTTGAAAAAATATAATTGTGACATATTATAATCAGACCGGCTGACAGTAATGCAAATACAAGTGAGCTGTTTAATTATTTGACGAACATTAAAATAAACTTTCCGTGTGTTTTTCCTTTCCAACGGCTGCGCATTTCAAGACATCATCCTGGAGGCTCGCTACGGCTCTCAGCACCGCAAACAGCGCCGCAGCCGCACGGCCTTCACCGCACAGCAGCTCGAGGCGCTGGAAAAGACCTTCCAGAAGACACACTACCCGGATGTGGTGATGAGAGAGCGACTGGCCATGTGCACCAACCTGCCCGAGGCCCGCGTGCAGGTTAGACGGGCTTTTAATGCTACATTTGTCTTCGAATTATTTATCCATCTGATCAATTGTGTAATTTTGAATGCAGGTGTTGTATATTATGGGCACCTCTAAAGTGTTTTGTTGTGTTTGTACACTATCAAAATGTGTGTGCATTATCTTTGAATGGCAACTTTATTTGAAGTAGTGAGAAAATTCACAATATATTTATGTTTTTTTTAAATGGAGAGAACTGTCTGCACACACAGTTCGAGTTAAAATCAATAACTGTCCATTATTACCAAAACAGGAAAATGAAAATCATTTTAGAGAGTACTGAATCATATTTGTTTTTCATTGAATGGGCACAGAAATAGGTTGTCATCTGAATACGAAAAAGTGCTAAAGTACATGTAAATTAAACTATTAATAATGTTAAAACTGATGTAATTTTGATTATGATAATTTATCTTGAACTTTATGTTGCTGACATTTTCTGGGCTTTTTATATACCACTCAATCATTTGATACAGACTGGTACTACAGTTGGTGTCCATAGTTGGACATCTCCTCAGCTTGTTCTCCCTCTAACTCGCCCTCTTCTCCCCTCTGCCACCAGGTTTGGTTCAAAAACCGCAGAGCCAAGTTCCGTAAGAAGCAGCGCAGCCTGCAGAAAGAGCAGCTTCAGAAGCAGAAGGAAGCCTCAGGAGAAGGAGGAAGCGAGAAGGAGGATGCAGCTCCCTCCACAACGGTCCTTCCTGACACCCAACTCCCTCCTCCCTCCTCCTCCTCCTCTTCTCTGGAGACAGAGGGTGCTGGGGTCTGTCCCGAACCCCTGGACATCGAACTGAATGTCACATCAGCAGAACACTCTGGCAGCGAGTCTGCGACAGAGGACAATGCCACAGATAAGGAGGACGAGGGTAAATCTCAGAGAGAGGAGATGAAGTGTGAGAGAGCAGCGACTCCTGAGGACAGATCTCCAGGTTGCAAAAGACTCAGCCCTAAACCAGGTAAGAACTTATGACACCTGATTTTTACTCTGACACAAAGCTGAATATGCTATTCTTGGCAAGACTGTATTCATCAGCTGAATGAATAATTAAAATCTCCTCTTGTCTTTGTCCAGACTCTCCTTTCGTCTCTCCGTCAGTGACGCCCTCCTCCTCCAGCGGCGGCATGTCCAGCGCTGGCCCCCTCCCTCAGAGCCACTCTTACTCTTCCTCCCCCCTCAGCCTGTTCCGTCTGCAGGAGCAGTTCCGTCAGCACATGGCCGCCACCAACAACATGGTGCACTACCCTGCCTTCGACCTCTCCGCCCCATCTTCACTCCCCTACCTGGGGATGAATGTTAACATGCCCCCCGCCCCGCTGGGCTCTCTGCCCTGCCAGTCTTACTACCAGTCCCTGTCCCATCACGCCCAGCAGGTGTGGGGCAGCCCCCTGATGCAGGCGCCGGCTGCGGGCGGCCTGGCCAGCCACAACAGCAAGACCACCAGCATCGAGAACCTGCGTCTGAGAGCCAAACAGCACGCCGCCTCGCTGGGACTGGACACAATGTCTAACTGAGGATCAGATTGTATGGAGGACAAACTCAACATACACACACATCACCCCATCCCACTGTGTGTATGTGAGACTGTGATAGTTCTTTAGGAGCATGCAGAGGTGTCCAAAATCACAACATGCACAGGACCTACAAAGCTCCAAACATCAACAGCTGGTTTGACTCCTCTTAGCTTCCAAATCGTCTGACGGTCTAGGACACAAGATATTGAATATTGATGCGATGGATGAAATGAATGTCCCAACTCAGAGGACAGTGAACTTATTCATGACTCACATGATGATGTTTCCATCAGACACCTACTGTAGGACCTTCTTAACATCTGAAAAAAATCTAAATAAGAATCACTGAAATCGTACACAGCTGATGATGGATGCACTCGGTTTAAAAAGGACAATGCAAATAATGTTTACAAGAACAATGTGAATAAATGAGGCACTTTTGAAGGAATTGGGCTCGTTGGCCAGGAGGAAAAAGGTATCGCTCATGCAGCAGAGAGAGCCTTTCTTTCAGAGGACCATTGACATTTCAATTAAGCAGCGTGGTTATGTACATAGCATGTACTACATAACAGCACATAAATACAAATACATTTCAAGCCGTGTTGTCCTCAATAGCATAATTAAAAGAGACTCATTTACCAGTTTAATGGCCAGTAATATGCCACTTTGTACAGAGGCTGGCTTGATAATGAGAAAATGATTTCAGTGAGTAAATTCTCAAAGCTTTTAATTACATTTTGCCCTGGGCTCAGGGAGCTGGGGCAAATGCAATTATGAACATGAATACCATTTAAGACTGCCTTTATATATTCAAAAGCTCTGTGGCAACATGATTGACATCATTTAAACATGAGTTGATCACTTTGAATACAAAGTGATAAGGAAAACACATTTGGACAAATGAATACATTTCCCATCCCATATTTAGTCAGCAGTTATTCTCGCATTATTGAGGAAAACATGCCGCTTGTCATTGAAAGCAACACCGTCTGTAAGCACTTGAGGAGAATCACACATGTCTCCGATGTTTTCTGTTAATGTGTAATGTCTTCACACGAAAAAAAAGCACATTATTTGAATATGTAAAATACAAAAAAAGTCTATCTATTAATGTTTACTGGTAAGGTAATTGTAAAGTTCATATTATGTTGTACAATTGATAACGGACTCAGATAAAGTTCCTTTTGCTTTCAGATTGTAAGATTGTATTCGCTCACCGGCAGCCCCCTCTTACCCCTCCTCTATTGGTTGTCTGTGTAACGAATCCTGGGTTGGATTAATATTTTAAATGTGATTTCTTTCTACACTGGAATTGGCTAGAAAGAAGCAAATGAACTAATATGGCTCGCTGCAAAACTGTCCCCTCATGTATGCTGCAATCCAGACAAAAGTGAACAGATTTCAGTGAATTGACCCGAGTCCTTTGTGTACTGCTGTCTTGACTCTTTGAGTTCTGTTGTTGCTAGTATTCTAATGCTGTCCCCCCCCCCCCCCCCCCCCCCCCCCCCCCCCCACTGTCTCTGTCAAACTACTTGGTCCAGTGGTAGATAGATTTATAATGGTGGAGGAGAGAGATGGAGCAGACCATCAGCAGTGTTGTTTCCTTTACCCCTCCCTGAAAATGTAGACTTGAATTAGTGTTGTTGTAAGATAATCGCAAATAAAAACATTGCTTGAAGACCTTTACAATGAATCTGTGTTGCATATCTATGTAGTAGGAGGCTAGTCATGGCCGAACACTGACAAAGGTGGGTTGCTATAGTTAAACTCTGCAATTAAAATGCCCAAAACATTTATTAAATAAGCAAAAGTACAAGTATGTTAATTTGCCTTTCAACTACACAAGCTTCAAAACTAATTGATCGAGTGCACCTAAACAACTCTGAAGCAACAAAGTTTGTTTAAAATCCTTATGTGGCAAAAGTAAAACAGATGTAAGCAAGTTAAATATAATGTAGGTTATATTATATATTTCAGGCAAAACAAAGTATGGGAAAAAGGTGATGGTGAGAGGAGAAAGGTAAAGAAAATGAATCAAGACAATGAAAAGACATGATGAAGATTAAATTAAGAACAATAAAAAAATTAAATACAAATAAAATGCATGAGAATTCTTATGGAGACAAAGAGTATGGAGTAAAAGAGAAAGAAAAAGAACAACGTAATCTGAAAAAAAAAGAAAAACCGCACGGAGACATAAGCTATCCCCAATGAATAAGCAGGCCATTATCCTGAAGAATGACGGCCTGGGGCGGTGATTATGCTGCTATTATATCTTTAACAGCATGGTTTGTCAAAACGCACAGACCCCCACCCCAACCCTGCTCACACACACACATACACTCAAAGCGAAGCAATAAGGCATCTCAATTCCAAATGTGTGTCCTTGCTCTTCCCACAGTAAACGTACCGAAGCTGTATGACATTGCTCTGCTGTTAAGTGAATTGGCCTCTAACACCTATTTCCCCCTCAGTATGTGTGTAAATAACAAATGTGCACCTTTGCTGCTGCATTTCTCCGCACGTTATGAATCACCACGATCCAACAATCGGATAATGATCTCAGCAGATTAGCAGCGTTAATGTGGGTGTAACACCTCACCCTAACCCTTGTTGTGTTTTATTACACCACATACAAGTTGTGTGTCCTCCGCCAAGGGCATGGCTGATGGTATGACTGATAAGACTGTGGTGTGTCTATGCAGCACAAGTGAATGTCCTTGTTATCCGGGGGAAGGAGTCTGTCCAGGTACGCGGCAGGATTTCCTCCCATGGGGCTTTTGAGGGGAAAACATAACACAATACTCTTGTTCCAAATGTTCCCTTTTTTTAAACACCCATCCCCCAAACACACACGCCCTGAGGGTCGAACAGGGATTGCTAGATTGTACCGCTGCAGGGTCAAGTGTGTTGAGCCCTTGATGCTGGATCAGGTGCTTCTATCTCTTAACACTCAAGGCTGTATATTCACCACTTTACCTTCCATAACCACCTAGGCTGCCACATATCTCAATCCACTTTCCTTTAAGCAAGTGTTGACATGTGTGTATTCGTGTGTCTGTGTGTGTGAGGACTGAACAAATGATTTTTCCAATAAATTATGGCTATAGGATGATAAGAAACCAAATCCTTTAAAGGGGCCCTATTGTGGTTTTTTGAGGTTCTCCTTTTCTGAAGCGTGTTCTATAGCTTTTTGTGCATGTTAATGGTCTGCAGAGGCTTAAATCCCAAAGTCTGCTCCAGACGGAGTTTCTTTCCCACACACTCCCCGCTTGCCTGAAACGCCTCCATTGGACTCCTTTGTTCACTTCCTGGACATAGTGACATCCATATGTAACAATCGCGCTTCTATTGGCTAGCACATTGTACGTGATAGTCTAAGAGGCGGGACATCTCTAAGCTGTTGACCAATCACAACAGAGCCGGCCAGCTAACCAATCAGAGCAGACATTGGCTCTGGTTTCAGACAGAGGGTGAAAAGAGTTGCTGCAGCACAGGCAGGATGAGAAAAATAAAGAGCTTTTTGAAAATTGAAGCATGTTAATATGTCAAAGTAGAGGCAAAAAAACAAATATGAATCTGAAAATGTGCATAATGGGGCCCCTTTAAGTTATACTGTCTGACATGATTAAAGATTTTACTTGAACTAACTTATTTTTAAAAAATAGTATTTTTATTAAAAGCAACAAACGTTTTTTTCCCCTTTGTTCTGTAATGTTTACATATTTTTAAGCAAGAAAATGCCTGCTTCTACAGGTCTACCAGTTTTCTGTATCTCCTGCTACTAACTCTCTCACACACACACACAGCCCCCCGGAGCAAGCCCCCCACACAAAAATCACAGTGTACCATTCAATCAGTGCTTTTTCCCCCCTCCCTCCTCTCCATGGTTCTCTTAAAGGTTTTAAGCATGGCGAGAATGAAAAGTGCCAGCGTTAGAAACCTCGGCCCATTGAGGAGGTGACAGGGTCTGCCAGAATATGATCCTAATCCTGTTTCCAGCATTCTTTTAGCTCACTGGCATTGCCATTTCGCCACATATTCTCTGAGCTGTCAGGCCCAGGGAAATCCCTCTAATAGTGCATTGCCCAGATACACATCAAAGCCCTCCTGGAAACCACCAGCAGGAACTTAAGGGAGAGTACAATCAGGCTCACAGCTGCACATACACATGCAAAGAAAAGAGATTGAACTCATACGTGATGCTTGAGGGGAAACTGCAACAATCCCTGGACTTTTTTTACCTTTAAGACTCAAGACTTTTATCATAATAAGTGTAAAATCAAGTAGTGCAATAGATAGAGAAAGACAACAGGTGGCTGAACTGTGTGTCCTGGGCCACCCTCCTTTAGTTCCACTTCATCTTCCAATTTCTTCGTGTCCTTTTTTTTCTTAAACACTGACTGCCATCTCACCCCTCCCCGGTTAATCTTCTTAGAGAGAAGAAAACCCCCATTCTCTCTCTTCTTAATCTGGCTGCAGCCTAAACCTACGGTTGAATTTCCAATGGGGGCCTCACTAAACTCTCAGCCACTTCATGGAGGACTGAGGCATTTGGAGGATGCATAGATAACATATCAAGTGTATGGCTTGTGTACAAGGCGTGGTTGACACAAGTTTATAAATAGTATAAAGGGAAACGTTTTAGCTATGAGCGACAGAAAAGATGGTAAATATCCCATGTTCTTAAATGTTACATTTAAGCATGTTCAGGCTTTATTATGAAAGTACTGTATCTTCACAGGCCTGTGCCACCAGAAAACTAACACTGAAGGTAGGTTAAATAATATAGCTCCATATCAATATATATTTTGATGCAAGAAGATACCAGAAGAATGACATTTGACATATTAAATATTATCACACATCCAAAATGATAGATGAAAATTGTGCAAAAGGGCAATTGTGTCATAATTGAAATGAGCCTCTAACAGTTTGAGATCCAGTGAGTCTTCAAATGTCTATGTGAGCTTCACCAGCGTGGAGGAAAATGAAAAGAAAAAAAGAAAACTGAAGAGAATGAAGTAGGAAAGGGAAGAGGTAAACCTATGCATGTCAACTGCATCTCCTCAGTCTGTCCTCACTGTAACACACGTTTTACTGGAACATGATACAAATAATACTTTCCCTAATTTCAATTGACACCTGGATGCCTGTAAAAGTAAGTAGACATCTAGAAATAAACATCAAAAATGTGTACATATGAAAATAAAATCCCACACTACATATCATTTTCTATCCGCCTTGTGGCAGAGAGCATCCTGCTGGGCTCAGTCTACACAATGCCTCTGCAACAAAGACCCCCATCGGGGAAATCCCCTCTCCCACCGCCAACTGGGACACGTCTGAGCTTCACCTCTGGGCTGCGGGAACAGCAGCATTTGCTTTAAATACACAACTGGGTTTCTGTGTTTCTTTACTAAACATGAAGACACCTAAACATCTTCACCTCCAAATTGGCTGAAGACACAAAACTGAATCCTTCATTTCAGAGCAGGTGATCATTTAGATAAAGTTCATATTTTGAGATCTGAACACTTGTTAATGTTTAGAGGTCCGATCTTGTACTTAAGTAAAAGTAGTAATATGTAAAAACACTCTGTTACAAGTTAAAGTCCTGCATTCAAAATCCTAAGTAACAGTAGAACAAATATCGCCATTACAATATACTTACAGTAACAAAAGAGAAGTATGCATTCTTGACCATTTCCGAATCAAATATATAAAATCACTGGATAATGATCATTGACGCATTAATTTTTTATCACAATTGGTAACTTTGAAGCTAATTAGAGTTGCTCCTGGATATCTTATCCTAAAATTAAATAATGGTAATTTGTACCTATTAGTTTATCTATATTTAGCTCATAATCTGAATAAAGTAGCTAGTAACTAGAGCTGCCAAATGATGTAGTAAATTATAAAATGTAATATTGGCTTCTAACATGTAGAATTATTAAGTAGCATACATTTAAAAGACTGGTAAAGTAGAAGTACCTAAAATGTGTACTTAAGTTGAGTATTTGAGTAAATGTACTTTATTACCTTCCACCATTGTCAGTGCTTTTCCCTTTTGCCATCATTTACCAACAAACTTTAGTGTTCCAGTTTCAATAGATAGAGGTCCTCACTAATGGTACACGATCATTAATTCAGCAGCTTGTGAGGTACTAGGTGAAAACATGACACCATTAGTGTTTTGCATGTTTATTAACAATAATGCAACATTTGAAATTGTATTTGACGCAACAGAAGCCTGGTAGATAAATCCATAATATTCATCTTTCTAATACACAGCAGATGTCTGCCTAACTCAGGCTTACACACAGGGACACAAACGCACAGCGGTTCATTGGCTGATTCAATAATAAAGCAGACAGCCAGTGGATTCTATAGACAGGCAGAATGGAGAGTAACTCATCTCTAACCGTCTGCCGTCTCCGGAGTGTTAAAACATGTAAATTTATGTAAGAGCCCATAGGAAACACATATTTACAATACGTTTAGGTAATCACAAGATGTACGGGGAGGCATCCGAGGCCCTGGAGACGAAAGCAGTCAATACAAAAATAGTTTTTATGTGTCATTAATTCCCTCTGCATTCCCAGATACATCCCCCTTTTACCGCAGTAATACAGTAATCACTCACAATCGCACAGAAAATTATCTGCACTCATCTGTGGAATCAAAAAAGCAGAGGGGCAAAACGTCCCATTTTAGCTCTCTGCTGCCTCTTTAATGTTCATCTGGGAGCCGCATGGCTGCCGTCCGACCCTGCACGGGGATGGGAGTCGGCTCCTGCACTTGGAGCAGCTTAATGACAGTGGGATGTGGATGGTGGACTCGTTAGACACACACACACCTTTTTCACGCTACATTGCCCGGCCAGGACAACATAAAGGGTCATCGGCGGTGTGATGGAAAAAGAGGCACCTCTCCGCTCACATTAGGCAGAGCAAACACTTCACCTCTGAGTGATGTCAATGCAAAACAGACTCAATCCAGATATAATAATGAAAGTTGCACAGATTCAGATGTGAGAAGCCAAATAGTCAAATAAGTCATTACCTGCCTGTCCATTACACACCCTGCTTCCACACAACGCGTTATTAGGCAAAGCCATCAAACCTGATGAATAACCAGAGAACAAGCCCAAACCCGTTCTCATTGCAGAGTTAAAGAGAGCAGGTAATTCTGATGGAAATGTGTGTTTTAGTAATGTGATCTCTAAGGGCATACATAGTGGAGCTTACAGACACTTCTTCAGTGTCCTCTAGTGGACACAACTTATACAGGACGCTGTAATCTTAGCTGTTGTTGCCATCTACAGGGACACAATATAACTACAATATGAAAAGACATTGCAAAGCTGATGGAGTTCAAATAAGAAAGCAGAGAATTAAAAAAAAATGCATTTATTCTAGAGGACATGATGTAAAGATAATAGGTTTAGTGACATTGAAACAACTAGAGTCCATTTTCATGCATGTATGCAAAGAAATGTTCAATTTCTTATAATGTTGCAGATGAATCTCATTATCCTCAATAGTGGAAGTCTCTGATATCGTTACCTATATTTTATACATTACCGTTTCAGTCGGAAAACTCACCTTTAAGTAAGAACATTTTAGAAATATTTTGGGGAATAAAAGCAGTCTGGCATAATTGACTGGGCTGAGGGATTGTTTTGTCCATGTGGAAAATAGTTACAAATGTTTGTGCTCTTGAGGCCGGATGTGTGGTTTTCTGGATCAATTATGCTAATTCAATGCATATGCTACTGGGTAACGTGGTAAGTGTGGTTATTTTCTTATTCTTCAAAATAAATAAAAAGAATGTTCAAAGCAAACAAAATGTATGAATGTAACTGGTGTCTCCATACAATTCTGCAGTTCCATGCCGTCCACAATAATAATCTCTCAGTCGAGGTCCTTCACCCGGATTCTTTGTGTGTCCCGTCACATTTGACCAACCGTAGTCCAGTGCTTCCACAGTCCACAGGGGGATCCTCTGCTTAGTCCATAAAGCATCAACAAATCATTCAAATGTCCACAAAGATTTGGTGCAAAGCAACTCATCAGTCCAGAGTCTATGTGAGCCTCCTCAGCTTGCACATGTAGATCGGGCCAAAGTTAGCGGCTAAATGCGGGACCACCATCTCACCCAGGGGGAGGTCGGGGGCAAAGTCAAAGGTTTTCCTAAACATGTGTGTCAGGGGTCGCAGATCAACAACCTGAATAAGGAAATTAAAAAAGGTCAAATTATTTGATGTCATTTTATTCCTAGTGGTCAAAAATCTTCAAATTGTGTTGGGTTGTATCATTGAATCTCTGTTAAACTGTTTCTGGTTGACGCTTACAAAGTGTGCATCAGGGTTTTGGTTCAAACAGGTTGGTACCGATCAGCGACATTTAAATGCCCCAGTTTACTTAGATAACAAATTACAGCGACATGTTTCCTCTCAGCTGGAGACTGTCATTGGACCTGCTTAGTTTCAGACAGGCTGTACTGAGTAGATTGAACTCATTCATAACGTCAATCAACATTTGAATGCTGCGCAGATTTTTATTTGTTTGTGGTATAACCCAGAATTTGTGCACAGCTGCAGATAAAGGTAAGTATTAGTATTCATTCTGCAGCAGTACACTTAGCTTTGGCACAGAGCAGAGCAGAGGTGAAGTGTTCACTTTTGATGGTTACACTTACAAAAGGCTTGGTTGAGAATATTTGAGAAGAAAAGATGGCGCCGTGGACGGCTGCCATGTCTCTAGCTGCTCTCCAACTTTGCCTTTTTTTTGTTTTATTTCAATGTTTGCTTTTTATTTTTATTTTGTCTTATGTCCTATATATATATAATATGTTGCTTTGTTGGAGGTGCTAGGTACTTAAGATTTGCATTGCCATAACTACACTGTAGCTACTGTGCATATGACAATAAAACCCTTGAATCTTGAAATAGATATTTGTTCAATAATGAAGAGTGGTGGCTCATAAGACTTCAACCAAGTCGTGTGATCAAAAACGTTTTGCTACTTCCATTTGACGCATTCAAGCACCTCAGCTTCACATTTATAATAAACATTTTAAAAGATCGATTTTTAAAAGTTAACAATGGAACTAGATTGTGAGAATTGTTCTCACCCGACTTTTATATAGGAAATGAAATGTGTCCGAAAAGAAATGTTACCATTAATGAACTGGTGTAAAATAGATAAGATAAGATGGACCTTTAATAACCCCTGTAGGGAAATGGGAGTGTGTGTCTGACCTGGAGCTGGATGCCGTGGTCTTCTCGAGCCGTGTGGATGGCCTGCTCCACCACACTCAGGTTCTGGATTTGAGAAAGTGTGCAGGTGGAGTAGAGGATCTCCCCTCCTGGACAAGCTGCTTCAATCCCCGCCCTGCACGATGGAGATCGGGAGAATTCAATATAAGTAATCTTGTCTTCTTGTGGCTTCACTTTATATTGATGTGACAAAAAGTAACACATTAAAAGATAATAACCACAATGTCTTTAAAGGTTCACCAAAACTTACAGCAGCAGATCCAGCTGTAGCTGCGGCAGCCTGCGTCTCTCCCCCGTCCGGTTCTTACTGAATATATTGTTGTCGTCCTCCATGAGTGAATGTCTGTCTGTGGTGCAAGGGACATCAACAAGGACCTGGAAGACAAAAGGAAGAGGTGGAAAAAGTGGTGGTGTTAGGATAAACACGTCTCATATCAAGCAACATGATCAGAATCAGAATCCGGTTTATCACCAAATAGGTTAACACATACGAGGAATGTTGACTTGTGTGTTATGGTGCATACATAAACATAACATTTTTTTTAAAACACAGATAGAAAAGGATATTGAGAAAACTATAATAACATTAAAAAATATAGTAAAATATTTGCATTGGATATGGTTGAAAACGTATAAATAAAATTGGAATAAAATGTTTGCAGTAATGAAAAACATTATATTGTTTACATTGTGTGCATTAATGTAATGATGACATGTCAGTGACTTACTCTGTCAAAAGTGTTCTTTTCGAACTCCCCCCACTTGGTCCCATCAAAGGTGGTGATGCGTAGTTTCTCGTCTGACAAAAGCGGCTTGGGAACGTAGCTGTGAAGGACTTTTCTCAGTCTCGTTGTCCTAGAAACGGAGGCGTCATTTACGCCGAAAAAACCTTTGAATGCAGCCAATGGAGGGTTAATTACAGCTGACAGAAGCACTGTGTGAGGAAAACAGAAGGATGGGAGAAGCCCTCTTACCTATAGACTTGGTCTGAAGTAAAGCCAGGGTCTTTCCTCCTGGAGCAGCACAGAGGTCAAGCACATTGTGACCTTCCTGGACGTTCAGTGCAAGACAAGGCAGCACAGACGCTGCGTCCATCAGGTAGTAACCCAAACACCCAAACATGTCTGGTCTTTAGAGGACAAAAAGGACAAGAAGGAATCAGAATACACTTTGAGGAAGACATTTGACATGATATAAATGGTCCTGTTGACTGTTGAACCATTTTAAAATACATATATTATAATTATTGAATTATAAAATACAGAGCTTTAAAAAGGCCTTAAGAATTGACCATAACTAACAGATAAGCTTACCTAGCAGGCTTGAATCGTGTGATGTCCCCTCTTGGAAACACTAAGCACTTGATGTTGGGGCTGAGCTGCAGAGCAGGAAGCTGCTGAGCATCAAGGTCAGATTTATTCACAGAAACACGACTGGATTCCTCCTCACCGGCCACTTCTGGTTCTTGCTCCAAGCATGGCTGAGCTGTAGAACCAATGAAGGAAGTAGAATGGATCATTTTCAGATTGTGCTTTTTAAACAACATAGAAAAAGATTGAGTTTAATATTATGACTTTAAAAGAAGACATACTTGCAATTGGCTTTTTTATATTTATTTCCCCATTTTCTTTCCTTTAAATTGTGCCATTTCTCTCGTACACAATGTTCAAGGAAAATAGGTAAATAACGAACGTTCTGGTTTATGTCATAATTCTAGTATATAACGATATGAACTAATATTTATTTGATATGTAACAGAACTCTTGAGCTGCTGCTATTTTATTAGGCTAATGGCTTTCATTAACTCTTACTTTGAATTTTGTTGTTGTTTTTTTTTATCCTGTTTATCTGGTGTTAATTACAACGTGCTATATTGTGTATTTTAAATTCTACCCTGCACTTTCATCTGATTTCAGTACACCCTTTGAATAAAATAAATCTAAAAAGGAAAGCTTTTCAAACATCAATTTTCCATGAACAAATTGACCCAAAAGAAAAAAGGCACAGAAAAAAAAGAATGAGTTACCTAATAAAGTGCAGATACCCTTCTTCAGTTAACTTGAAAAAGGAAATGTCAATATCCAAGTCGATTTAAAAAAAAAATTAAATATATGTGCAGCCCTAACAAATGGCATGATTTATTTTTTTGTTTTGTTTTTAATTCTGCGTGCCATGCTTGATATGGCTTAGTAGGAAGAGGAGAAATGCACACCCACCTTCTGTTTCTATGTCACTGGGGAAATCTTTGCATCCCTTGGCTTGGAGCTCTGCCTGAACATCATCATGGCCGTAGTTATTGAGCAAGGCGCCGTATTTCCTCTCTGACAGCAGGGCGGCTCGGACGGACAGCCACAGCGGCCCCAGCTGGACGCTGTAGGTGGAATCGAAGTTCTGCAGGGCCAGGCCGGTGGCAGGGTGCTTGATCCGTGTGGCAGCCTGTCGGAAAGGAGGGAGATCAAAAACACAGGTTACATGCTTTGATGTTCTTATCTGTTTATGTGTTAGTTTAATTAGTTAAGTTAAACAAATTGGCTTCACGCAGGGTTTTAAAGGTCATGTTGGTGCAAAGTTATATATTCTTTGAAATATGAAAATGTATTGTGATGTAATGGAAATGTAATACAATTATACACATAATAAGTCAACTCTATGGGAAAACAACAGTGAATGTATGTTGATGCATATTTAGCTAGAGAAGAAAATTGAAAAAGTCATGTATCTTAACACAGTTTAACTTCAATCAAGTTCTCATTGATTAAGTTCGCCATAGTAATGCATGTGGAAATGTAATCTATCCATTTTAAACGTTTATTCTATATTGCTATAGCAGATATTCTGGATGGCTTAGGACATGACGTTCATTTAACACCTCAAAGGGAGAAACTGTTTTACAGATAACGACCATGATCGGCTATATCTATATCTGCATCCACTACATACCCATTTTTCCTTCACTCGGTGACGTTTTTGCGTTAGACATCTTAAATCTTTAACTTTTCTCAGCAGCAGTCTGGTCTCCATGAGCAGCGCCATCTTGCCGTGCGGCTATCTGTTTGGTCCGTCTCCGCTCCGTCAGCCAAAACAAAGGTTCCACTTGCGTTGACTGCCTGGATGGGCGGGGCTTACAGAAAATACAATTCAATGATTGGAGCAAAGCCCCCTCAGTTATCACTTTACACCAATCGAAAACGCTTTCCGGTAATCAGCTCGTTATTTCCTGCTTGTGACCGACCTTACGTCCTTAACAAAAAGTGCCGCAGACGAGTTCTGAATTCTGTCCTCTGTGGGGATACTTAGTACATTTTAGAGCAGTAATCATGGGTTTCGAGAAGAAGATGGTCCAGTACGATGACCCCGACGAGGAGGTACTGAAAATTATCTATACGTTTCTAAAAAAGTCGCTTTTTTTGTAGGGCTATTTGTTGGTCCATGTTACCCAACAGCAACACTAACGTTATCTGTGCTGTAACGAGCTGAGTGTCGGTTGCTTTGAAGATATGACTCGGAGCTTAAATATGAACACATTAATTAACGTTTGTCAATATGTCTTGATGTCTCATTTTACTGTGATTGGTCACAGGTTACCTCTGGTTGTAACACCGGCATTTTATATTGGTTCGTTGGTTATATAAGTTGATTTTAATTATACCTGCATTATTATTATATGAGCTGAAGCTTTAATGCAGTCCATGTTCCTTTTTTTTAAATAATATTTTTCATGCAAAACTAAATAAATATCCATTATATTGTCAATGAGCAGGAGGAAGATGCCCCTGCTGAGGAGGAAGAGGCAGAGGAAGCAGAGAAGGCAGAAGAGGAAGAAGAGGAAGAAGAAGAGGAGGAAGACATGGTGGTAAGTTTGTTGTTCATTAATGTTATGAATATGCTTTGTGGACAAAATATCATTTCAATTTAATGTATGTTTCTAGACCTACCGTCTGTGTTATGGTATGTGTACTAATCACATTAAATACCTTAACACAGAGCAACAAACCATTTTAATTAGAGAAATGGGCAACATTTAAAAAGGCCATGATTATATCATTACAGTTGTCTGGTTCAGTCTACTATAAAAGTAATATTTCAGTACAAATGATTTGTGTCCAAATATTTGTATCTCAATTTCTGCTACTTTATATTTCTGTTTTGCAGAAACTAATATTAATTGTTTGGCTCCTACATTTTTATGATTTGATTTAGTTTGCAGATTCAGAATCCGACAAACTATTTTATGTAGTGTCAGAAGCCGTCCAGCAGTATGCATTATTATAAATCTGATAACATGCGTTGTATTCTAAAATTGATAATTTAAGTAAAATTAGAGGCAAATTCCCATGATTTACCACTTTTGCTTTTTGTCCCTCACAGGATCCTTTAGAAACGATTAGAACCAACTGTGGAGAGACTGAACACTGCGTGCACTACAAGGAGCTGCTGGAGACATGTGAAAGCAGAGTCGGCTCTAAATCCAACACACTAGAGGAATGCACAGAAGAACTCTTTGACTTCCTGCACGCACGGGACCATTGTGTAAGTGCCCAAATGGCATAGGAGAAACCCGACTGCATGTGACTTGATTTGTGTGTTTGACTTCAAAGATGCTAATTGTGTTCTCATTTCTTTATAGGTGGCGCACAAGCTGTTCCACAAAGTGAAATGAAACGTCCTGTCCAGCTCTCACCAGCAGCTGTAGAGTATTTACCTGCTAACATTGTAAAGACTGTAGTGTTGTTCTTCTCCTGTGTATTAATGTAAATGAACTTTATTGAGACTGTAAAACTAAATGCCAACCTTCCTGTATACCGAGTCACTGCTTGTATGGTAATGAGTGCATCAAAGTTGTAACAGGTGCAAAGAAGGGGCTCAAACCATCTCTCACTGAAGTTCACATGAAAAAGCAATCATGCTGCACTGACGATGCATATTTAAACTCAGGTTCGGTCATGGATTCATCACTTTGACCAGGAATAAAGGTTGTCTTTGGTTTTCAGTATGTCTGAGTTGCATCATTTTGACACATTTGATTTTTCGGTGGCATGACTAATAAATTAAGCATTTTCCCCATTTCAGACGACAAATGCCCCGTTTTTTGGCCTTGAACTATTAATTTAATTAACAATTATTAAGGTGAAAAATGTCAAGAACACCTGTTGTCTCACATAGCCACTCTAATATGGTTATCAGCTGCGTTTAAAATAATTTCCATTAAGTGTATTGTGATGGAAGTCGATAAGACCGCTCAATGATAAAACAGTACAAGCAGAGATAAAAATGTACTAAAACTTTATTGGAGTATATACCAACAATCATAATAAATTAAAAATCAAGGCATAGAAATTAGCATATCAAAACAAATGACCAGGAGATGGCAGTGTGCCTTCAAGTGCTGCCGGTTTAAACAGAAATCAAAGTAGACAGTGATTGTAGAGGCCAGTGGTTGCCGCCATTTGAGAAAACCAATGGTCCAAGATGAGTTGATGTGGATAATCACAGGATAAATGATGCACACGGTGCATAATGTCACAGGAGATGGATTCACCTTCTCACCAAGGGTTTTCTTGGTTGCTGTTGCCAATAAAATCGTCCATAGAGGCCTGCAGAGGGCAGTGGAGACAAAGAAAGTTATTACAAGATGAATAGTGTGTGAAAAAGCATATTTGTTTTAATTGATCTTTTGCAGCACAACCATGTAGTGCGACTGCTACGAGCTACGTTTCAAATGGGTTTTATGAGTCATAAATTATAATAGGATGTATTCCATGAGAGCTCTGCACTCACCTGCATGAGGATCCTCTCCTTCCTCAGTCTCTTGTAGAAGACGAGAACATCTGGATCCGCCCTGACCACACGGGGGTCGAAGTCCATCACCCGCAGACCCTCCAGGCTCTGAGCCCGGGACAAGGCAACGTAAGCCTGGCCACTCTCAAAGACGCGTGCCAGAGAAATCTCCACACAGTCGAGTGTCATTCCCTAAAATTCATTAAAAAAAAACAGACTACATGTCAGACATTTACAACCCAGACTTTTTCAGTCTAAATAAGTATTGATAGCAAATTGATACTGAAATTGAACAAGATACAAAAAGCTACTTTGGCAAAACCTCTATCCCAGCTTGCTATTCACAGATATTGCACTTATTGTATGCCGCCACTTTTCAAATTAAAAAAAATTGATGCAGGTGGGGGATTTCCCTTTTTCTTTTTTTACATTTCCCCATACTTTAGCTCCCCGGCTGTAGATCAAACGGGGACATTTAGTCTGTGACCAATTTCCTTAATTACCTGAGCGGGTGTCTGATGTCAGGATATAGATTTTGCTGTGGGAGCTGCTGGTGAGGCAGCAGAGTGATTGGCAATTACACAATTACAGCTCATTTGTGGTGGCGGTAATATCAGGTTAGTGTTTTTTCCTCTCTTTTATTTGTCCATCCTTGTGCTTTTGTTTCCCAATCTTTTTTCATGTCCTTGCCTTTTTCAGACAGCACATAGACAAAGGAAAGGAAGCGAGGAGGGGTGAGCTATAGGCAAACTGCGACAAGTATTATAAAAGAAATACAAGCTTCTCTCGAATTTTACACTTGTAACAAATAGTTTGCCATCGTTTGTTGACAGCAACAGTAAAAAATATTAGTTTAAAAAAAGGCAAACGTTTCTTGGTGTTACATTTGAGATGTAAAAGGTTGATCAGTGGTGCTGGATGTATATCAGCGAAACACTGTGCACGTTCTCTCAGTAAACCAGGAGATTTACAATGCTCTCACTCTGTTAATGGCTCAGCGAGGTAGAGAGCCTGGCTGTCCATCACAATGAAATGTAGGATTGGGGAAATAGTGGTATAAATAGCACTGTGCAAACTGAACGAGCTCTTTAAATCTAAACCAGAAGTGCATCCAGAATCTACTCTGCTACCCATTAGCAAACTACATTACAACAAATAGTACAAAACAGCAAAGCTACTCAATATAGTGTACTGTGTCCCACTTGATGTACAAAAAAAAACAAGAAAACACTTTCGACAGGTCCAAACCCAACCGCATGATGAGTCCATTTTTACAATTAATCCAACAGGAATCAACAATGTCAGTCATAATGTATTGCAAATAGTTTTGGTAGATGTTTAAATATTTCATAAGACAAGTGAAAAAGTCCTGCTGGAGGCGCTACAGAAAGAACATTTCACGACAATGACTAAAATATTGATTAAAGAGTGACATAGTGCCTGCAAGTTTTATGTCTCCACTGCTGTCACAAACTAAAGAATAAATACAATGTAGTTATAGACTACTAGTGAATTCAAGGAAACATATATTTTTAGATTTATTTCTATCCGAACACAGTTTGTATTTCTGACAACGCTCACATCTCCCCTCACCTGTTGATTTACTTAGAAGCCAAGCAATAGAGTGGACAATTATTGAGTTTCAAGGTCCACTCAGACAATTCAATCTAACCTGAAGCTATTCCTGGAGGTCTAGGTCACTATAAATGCAATACAAAATATATATTAATTTGTTTCAGGCTAATTGAATTCGGATTGCCGAGTTATTTATGCATTCATGAAAAGCAACACTGCTGTACTTCAGCTACACTGAAGAGGGCTTCCACCAAAACGAAGGGATTTCATCGCGGTGATTTCTGTAGCATTTGTTTCAGTATTTTCAAGCAAGATACCAACCTGGCTCTTGTGGATGGAGATGGCCCAGGCCAGTTTGAGTGGCAGCTGCTGTCGGCTCAGGTGGAGCCCTCCGCCCGACTTAAACACCCAGCGCTCAAGCTTCAGCACCTCAGTGACGCCACACAGGAAATGCACACGTGGGAGTCCTGGGGAGACGGTGAATGAGTCGATACATGGTTGGACAAAAACTGGAGACATAATCCATGGCATTAAAAAGCCATTTGTCTTCTTTTTTTTTGCTTGCCGATACAACATTAAAATAAGTTAGTTTTCTATTAAATCCTCCAATGACTATCCCTCAAAGTAATCTTCTGCTATTCTATTGTCACTTAAGGGCATATTCTGGCTTTTGTAATTAATGAATCCCCATCCATAAATAA